GATCGGGGCTTTCATGTCAAATGGTCAACATGTACAACAATAGTGTTCTTGCTACAAAAATAATATAAAGTTTTGCATTTTTTATGGTCGATCTGTTTGAGATAGCTTGTGTTTTATGTTGTGAGTGAACTTCGTTTTCTTCTATTTAGGTCATGTTGCACCATGTGCTATGTCTGTTCACCACATTAGAAATTCAGAGAAACATGTCATAGGAACCATACCGGCATGTGTTTTATTCCATAATATCGACAACATAGTATTGAACTAGCCCACATGCATCGATTGCCTAAACTAGTAGTTAAGAAGTTGGTCTCTAGATAAAACACCTCATTCTCTAAGGCACAACTGACAGAGAGGCAACAGTTAACTATCAAGGCGCGGATTATCACTGAAGGTTGTCCTGATTGGTGTCTTTGAAGGGACCACCCTGTTAAATATACAAGTTAAAATTATTTGGTCTTGTCAACATGCAAAAAAATTGTGAATCAGGAGCAGGATATCAAACCTGATAGCAAGGCCTCTCATGTATATGCCGCTGGAGCTCAAAGCAATAATAGCGCCACTACCCTGTAATGCACATAAATGAAAGTATCTTTTTAGACATTTATTCTTCGTATCATGAGTAAAATACATGCATGACAAATAAACATTCTGGTGGTCAACATAAAACGGAAAAAAAATTCTTCAAAAACACATTATAGTTATTAGATATCTTGTAAAGAATGACATAATAGCTAGAGATTTTAGATCACAACTTTCTTTTCAGCTTATTTTTGTGATTATCAACATTAGAAAAATAATACAAGAGTGTGAACATTAGGTAGCTCTTAGATTTATCAACGTAAGATATATCTACAGGAAAACTAAGTGGGCCACACACATACAAGTGCGATGTCCACATGATAAGTACAAGGACGGATACACATAATTATAGCAAAGTAAAATATGTAACACAACAGAAGATATAATGGATTGAGATTATCACCTCCACAAACTCAATAAAAGCTATCTGAGTGGCATGGTTGTTATGACCCAAAAGCCTTACATGAGAAACCTATAATCCATTGAAACAAGGATACAAATGTATTATACTTTTTTTATTTTGCAAAAGTTAAAAAAAATTGAACACAATTATATATGACATTTTTTTGTTGAGTTTCCTAACCGAGCCAAAATATGTCTGGAAGAAGTCCTTTAGCTCAGAGGCAGTGACCTATATGTAAAATTTAAAAGTAAAGTATTAACACTAATACACAACATGTGCAAACAAATCCTTAGGCTATACACACCATATGTTCAATATTTGTGCAATATACTGTCCTTGAAGACCTTTCCTTTTCATCTTCAGACTGCAATAATATTGAACATTTTTTTTTTGCATGAGGTATTGCCATCTAAGAATCACTTAAGATTAAAGGATGTTTATGTTGTACATACCTGAGGAAGAAACAAATGCTTGATAGGCGCGATTGCAGTCCTAGAAGGTTCTACCTTCAGAGGGCGAAGTCCTATAATGATCCCATCAAGATGCAGCGCAACAACTGCATCCTCTGAAAATGTGTTAATGTTGGCTTTAGGTCTTATTTGTGAACTGCATTCTATAGTGATTTTTGATGAACGTCAATATTTGAGCATGTGATATGGTGACTAACCCTGATGCTGAAACTCTATGAATGCGAAGCGAAAACCAGAAGTGGGGTCTCCACTAAGACGACAATCTACAACCTATTGAGAAGAGTAAACAATGTTTTAGTCATATTGCTTATGTAATGGTACATAGCACTTACATTTATTTTCTTGTGTGGTGGAGAAGGGAACTAGAAACTTTTAAACTATTTATGTTAATGACATAACTGCATGAAAATAGGAAGAACATCACCCAAATATGCTCAACACATTACCTCACCACAAACATGATAATTAGATGAAATGTTGATAACGTGAAAAACTATTGTGCTAAATAGCCATGTCCCATGCACGAGTACATTCTCATGCCCCCAAGACGAATCCACACATAAAATGATTTTTTTTCGTCAATCACAATTGGCCACATCGAGTTCACCGGTCTATTTCAGCTCGCACATGCATACATTACAAAATTAAAGCGTCCTCCTAGTACACCCTCACCCAAAACCCTCCACAATATAAGCCTAGATATAGCAAGCTATCTACAAGCTACGAGTTCCATATATGATTTACAACAATATTATGACATAGAGAAATATGCTATAGCAATTAAATTGCTAAACTAAACTAAGACTTTTCTGAGATATATAATACATAAATATGCAAATAAAAGTAATAGAGCCATCAATGTGTCAAGCATCTGAACTTTTTGCTGAGAAAGTCAAACATGTGATCTGATCGATGAATAGCATAACCCACATAATCTTGTATTCTAAAAAAACTACATTGTAAATATAGCAATCTGTTCAAGACTATGCATATTTTTATCATGTTTAAAAGAGTGGGAATTAGACATACGACTCCGCATATCCCAAAGAGCCCAGCCAACATTTCTTCAGTGACCTGAAACAAACAAATGTCACATACAAAAGTGATTCATTACGTCAGATTTGCAAGTTACAAGAAATATCACTTCTATTGCACATGGAAATAGCATTAATTCTTACAGTGTGATCAATATCACCAACGTAAACTGTTCTTCTCACAAATTCTGCATCGTGGATCCTTTGAACCCGGTAAGAATACCTGGTCCTTCCCTGTTGTGAGTAGTTCCTAATCCTCTGTAAAAATGTGTAATCCTTCAAATTACCAAACGAGTAATGATACAACGTCAAATTTGAAGAACAATATAACTAGGATGGCTCAGAAAATAACATTGTAGCCAATGCTGAACTGTGTTGCATAGTTGAAATGATCAGAAACGTTTCATAAATCAAAAAGAGAGGGATGTTTGAAGCGGCTAAGAATTACATACACCATATTGCTCAAAGAGAAAAATAATTGATCTGCTTTAGATTTGCCAGAAAAAAAAGGCAAACATGACATGGGCTAAAACATGGAAGAAACAAGCTTAGGTGAGCCTCAAGCACAATTAATAATGAAATTTAAGAAAATTATCATCAAGGTCTTCAGCGGATCAACTATGATATGTCCACTTGGTAGAATGGAAAGCTTAAAACCCCAACAAGAAAACTCCAGAATGAAATCAAGAATGAAGATCTAGGACGAAAGACGAAGTGCCGCAGGAAGGGACAAATATAAAATTGAAAACGAAGACGGATCTGCGTTCCTATAGGATATAGATATGAGATACGAGTATGTAGCTAGAACTTTGTCTCTTTAGCTTACTGATGATCTTCTCCAGGTCATAGTTGAGACTGCATTGCCGATGTAGACGCTGGTGCCGCGCGCAGGGTAGCCTACCACCATGAGGTCCTGCAAGTAGAGCCCCTGCGTCACGACGAACTCCGGCGCATCCGCCCAGAGCCTCCTCCTTGATCCGCCCCCAACGCGCCACCACGGCACGAACTCCCTGGCGAGCGGGTTAAGCGCGGTGGCAGCGCCCACGGGCAAAGACTCCTTGGCGAGTGGGTTCAGCACGTCGGCGGCGGCGCCCATGGGCACGAACTCCCTGGCAAGCGCGTTGAGCAGCGGGGTGGCCGCCGTGACTGTCCTCTGGACTGTCTGGTCCGCCGGCGTCGCACCGCTTCGTTGCACCGCGTCCATGGATGATCGAGCCGAAGAGAAACGGTAGAGCTAGCACTGGAACTGGAGTGCTATCTCCGGCTTGTATTTATGCAGTACGCTCCTGCGCCGCGTGATCCTAAGGATAGAGGGCAGAAGTCAACCGTAGACTGGCTGCAGAAGGGACAGCGCCGCGCGTTCCACGGCAGCTTCTCTGACGTCAGTTTCCACTTTCCGGATAACGTGTGGTCACGTACAAGGGTATGGTTACCACGCTCACTGACATGCGGGTCCGAAAAGGCTGTGGGGCCACAACTGCAGGAAGAAACGTTGCGCTGCGTTCAAAGAGATGTGCGAGGCTAGGGGCGTGTTTGGTTACCGTAGTCTACATTAGCTGCATTGCATAACCTTCTCAACTCAGCCTGTCTATGCAAATGCAGCCTCAAATGCACTATGTACAAGTTGTTTGGTTGCCTGTATGGGCTGAACCATACTGCCAGGTGTTTGGTTGCTTGCATGTTAGTGGACAAACCTAAGGCATGGTGTTTGGTTGTATGCAACGTCTGGTGTGTGGTAACCTCTTTGGCTAGTTGGTGAGGTTACCAGCACACTTGGGCACAACCATGTACCACACATCATAAGCAAAGCAAAGCATCCACTACTTAACAACATAGTTCAGATAACATATAGTACCACACATCATAACGATAGTTCAAACAGTTCAACGCATAAACCATAAAGCAGATTCGATAGTACTTAGGAAGGAGGTACCCCAGCCCTAGTCCCTGGCGGCGAAGGCTTCGTCCTGGTTCCCGCACTTGGTGACCACCTCAATGCCAACGTCGTCAAAGATGATGACCTTGAGGGTGTCAGGAGTCAGGAGCTTGAACGTCACCATGTAGCCGATCTTGATCTGATGAACGGCGGCGTAGGTGGCCCAACCCTGATCCAGGGTCACCCTGCCATTCATCAGCTTCACCGTCACCCTCCAGGAGCAATCGGTGTTGTTCCTCAGCTTGAACTCCGTCGGCACCGCGACGAAGTGCTTGGTGAAGTCCAGGGGCATGGAGATGCACTCAAGCTTTGGTGCAAGGATGACCTTGCAGAAATGACTTGGGCCACCATCCTCATGGTAGTGGTCGTAGTTGTCGCGCTTGCTGCTGGGGGATCCTCCATGCGCTCGTCGTTGCCAACCGTTGGCGTCTTTGGTTCTTCCTCGGCGGTGGGCGGCAGCACCACCTCGGGCATTGGATGAACCGGCTGCTTGCCCTTGTTGTCAATGGCCGGGAGCACCTCCGTGCCCATCTTATTGCTCTCGTCGATCTGCACACAATTCATGGAGTCAGGCACAACACAAAGTTCATGGCTTATTGAAGAGCATGTAGTTAAAAAGGCATGACTGTCACTCTTCCTCCTCTCCATCGCACCTATATTTACTCTCCCTGCCGATCATTACTTACCCACCCCCTCTCTTCTCTCACTATCAACCTTCCTCCTCTTCATCGCCATGAGCTCCAGCTCTAGCTCCATCGCCAACCCCTTCCCTTGGGGCATTGGCTAGAGGGCCTTCTTCCTCGGGTGGTCGGCTGGTGACCACACCAAGTTCGAGAACACCATGGAGGTGTGCTCGAACTTTGGCTCCATGTCTGACATGCAGAATGAATCTGATGCAGTGCTCATGAGGGCCACTGCGCAAGTGTTGAAGATGTTGATTCCTAACCCGGCGAAGGGCGCGATGGCAGTCGACATCATTCGCTTGGCCATGAATCAGGATGTCCCCGATGACGCTAATAGGTGGTCCAAGTACAAGAACTACTGGGCTCCTAATGACCGCCGTGCCACAGTGTACTAGGAGACGGCAATTGTGTCACCGGCGGTCATCGGTGGGGAGCCTAAGGAGGAGTAAGAACCGGCGCAGATGCCAGTGAGGGTGTTGGAGCCAGGCTGTCGTACCTGGCAGGTCGACCTCGACTCTACCGAGGATGACGACGACCCGCCGCCCCACACGGTGATGGACAAGAAGATGAAGGCCAGCCACTCGACCCGCCGCTCCGCACGCCTCAACGGCCGCCGCGGTTAGCCAGTGACTGTTGTGTACCCCCAATCCCCCTTCTACTCCATCGGCATCTACCTCTATTTCGATCTTGCATGAACAAGTATGAACTCGTATGAACTAGTATGAACTAGTATGAACTGCTTTGCTTAATTTCCTCTATTCCCCATTCCCCTCTCCGTCGTGGATCGAATCTACCGCCGGATCGAACGCCAAAAAGTAGTGCAAACAGAAAAGTGCTTACAGCCATTGCCGCGGGCCAGGTGATGATCCGCTCACCGATGATGGAGTCTGGTGGTTTTCTTGCTCTCCTCCGATCCGCCGCCGCCGGTGAGAGTTGGGAGAGTGGGGGAGAGTGGGGAGAGGCAGCGGTGAGGGGCGATGAGGCTAATAACTACTGACACTTCGAGAAGCAACGCGGCTTCTCGAGCGTGGTCGCGCGTGTGCAGCCGCCGCCGCCCACGTGCACCGCTCGGGTCTGGCTCTAGAGAAACTGCCGATTCGAGCGTACCCAGGAAGCCAGGCCCAGGAGTGCTTTAAACATCGTGCCATGCAAGCCCAATAGTGTATGCAGCCAACCAAACATGTCGTTTTCTTTACCTCATGCAGGCAACCAAACACGCTCTAGGCTGCGGAGGCATGTCTGGACGCTTGACCCATGCTTGCATGCACGAAATCTTAGGGAACGCAGAGTGGTTTGAGCCGGCCTGTCAGTGATGTTTGAGCGTTCTTTCTTTTTCGTCAATTTTCAGAATGGTAGCACCGCCTTACAATTTATCTGGCGTAATAACTACTTTTGTTTTGCGAAACACATAATTTTAAACGTTTTCTTTGAAGGGAAATCCTCTCGATGTTTATTTCTTATCCGACGGACTTACATTTGCTATTACAAAAGGCAAAATAATACTAGGGTCGTCACCATCCCAAAATACTTTGTTTGACTCATACGCAAATTTTGCAGAGGTAATATCACTAGTGGTGCCTAAACTTACCCTGGATGTTTAGTTTGGTGCCTCAACTTGCAAAATACACGTAACTTGGCAATTTGGTTTAAATACGGTGCCAAACACGTTTGTCTACGAATTTGCTGCTGACTGGCCTTGACAACATGGCGTGGGACACCTGTCAGCCACTAGAGAGGCGTTTTTGCCCGCGACGTCACTGGCCTTTTTCCAGACAATCCCTTGGACTAATGTTTCTCACTCAGAAAAGCTCCTAGCCCGGCGGGACAGGGCACATAACGATTTTCTCACAAATCCCTGTCTACCAAATCCCTAACCCTCGTTCCCCATTCACTCCGGTGGTGTGGCAAGGACATATCCCTCATGGACGGCGGCTAGGCCGTATCCTTGCACCATGGCAGCGAGTCTCCAGAGCTCAGGTGATCAGACGTTGCACCCTCTTATTCCCCCCTATCTAATATGTATCTTACACTCTCCCACCCGTGTCTCACTTTTTAGATGGGAGGAATTGGAATTCCACGAATGGCTGACGGCGGGGCGAAGATGGAGGAGGACGAGGAGCCATGGGCGAAGGTTACGTCTGTCGTCTATTGGGGCGAAAATCAGGTATTGAATCCATCTCCCCTCTCTGGTTCATCAAAGATTGGTATTTTAGATGAATGTGTGATTCAAACATAGAACCATGAGATCCCGGATATGGTGGGTTGCATGCCGCGGCACAAGGTAGATCACAACTTTAAAGGTGTAGATCCTAAGGGAGATTGGTGTGGGCACAAAGCTTTGTCGGGTCTGCGTGTATGCAGTGAGGGAGTTGACACAGGGTGTAGATATTTGTCATGCCAGTTTGAGGTATGTAGGAACTGCAGATTGTGTGATTTCACTGATTTGTACATCACCTGAGTAGATCATTTCACTTACTATTGTGTATTGTGTTCATCAACAGGACAAGAGAAGTTGTGGTTATGTCAAATGGATTTACAAACCATGGCAGGGAAGGGACAGGAGTGTGATTGCTAATATTGCTTGCAAGAAAGAGTTCCTGGAGCAGAGTCTAAAGGAGAAAGATGGTGAGATAGAAGGTATCATGGAGAAGCATAGAATGGAGAAGAAAATGATTGGAAGACTGCATAGAGAGCAACTACAATCAAGAGATAGGATGATTATGTTAGCGGTAGTAATGTACTTTGGTTTACATGCAATCATGTTTGCAATGGCTGGCAGGTCCTGATGCATGAATTAGCAATGTTGAACCTCTTCTTTTGGTGAACTAAGTGTGTTGTAGTAGCTACTTTGTGCGTGCACTAAATGAAAAGGGCAAGACAATGAAGCTTCTAACTTCTACATGTTTTTCTTATATTTCCTATAACACAATGATTGAAGTTGGACCTGCACTTAATAGCAAGAAAGAATTTTGACAGCAAAATTGCAATTTGATAGCAAGAAAGAATTTTGACAGCAGATTTCAACTTGAATAGTAAATTTGACAGCAGATTTCAACTTGAATACTAAATTTATAGCAGATTTCAACTAGAATAGTAAATTTGACAGCAGATTCAAATAACACTTGAATAGTGAATTGGAGTAACACAGAATTTTGATAGCAAAAGGAAGAATCAATTTGATGCTTGCGTCATACGTCGATGTTGGCAATACAAAATTGACAATCAATTTGACAACAAGAAATAATTTTGACAGCAAAATTGCAATTTGACAACAAATTTCAACTTGAATAATACATTTGACAACAGATTCACATAAGACTTGAATAATAAAATTTTAAAGCAGATTCACAGAACACTTGAACAGTGAAAGATACTGCCAGCGTGTTTCATGTCAACATACTTAAGTGCATTACATATTCATTACATCAAAAGAGGCCTCTAAAAAGACAAATGAAGTTCATTGGTGAACTTAGTTGCATTCCATAAAGTTCAGTCATAAACTTCTGCATCCAACATGGGAATCTACATGTGCATGAAGTCATCATCCCACTCATCCCCTCCTGGTGCATTTTGTGTGATTGGCTC